TATTTAGAAGGTTGATAGTTTTTCTCATTTATACTTAGAAAAATACACTCAACAGATCTCAGCAGTTGGTGTGAAAAGGACAGAAAAGAATTTCGTATTGGTTGAAAGTTAATTTATTACTAAATTATTTGATGTTAGCTCTTTAAAAAAATATACTCGTTACACCGAAAATATTACTTTACTTTAACAGAAACAGGGACAACGACGCACCGGCCCAAATTAATGTCTGGGCATGTTCATCTGGACTACTTAATAGATCACACGTACTATAGGAATGATGAGTAATTATTTTGTCTGTCTGTCAGGTAGAATATTAAACATGTATTTTTTATTTTTGTGTAATCAACAAATTGCGGTGATTCATTGGATGAAACGCAGCATGACGTCACACCTTTGTACATAGTTTGACGAGGCAAGCCCCACTCATTTTACGCCTATTAGCCATTTCTTGTTAAATACAAGCAAAAAAAAAACAAATATTTCTCTATTATTTGACTGATGGACCAAATAGAATTTCTTTTTTTTTCCCAGTCATCATCCCGTTTATTATTAGTGGTAGAGATGGTTTTACTACAATAATTTTATTTAATATTGCACTGAAATATAGAATGGTTACTGATATGGTATGGTAAGAAAACCGGGGCTGATTAGACCAATCTGTCCAATCCTAGACAGATTAATCGCGGCCATGACCCTCCACGCTGGCCCAATGAGGATTGGAGGGTATTAACGACTGCAAATGCAGCCGGGACCAATGGCTTAACGTGTCTTCCGAAAACCCATCCCTTGCCCGACCCTTGTGAAAGTTGCTTAACGACAACGATCGTGGGCCGCGGCGCTTATACACTACGTCACCGAGCTACTTAACGTAATCTTTTATCTATGGCTATGAAATATGAGTAGGTTTATTTAGGTCTTCTTGTTTGAATCATAAATAAAATAATACCAATCTAGCGAGTATTTCGATATACATTTTTAAATATTTACTGATCTTATTAGAATAAGCTATAAAATATTGTTTCAATATAAATAAATAAGTTGTACAAAACTCCATTCGATTTTAAATGTTAATGTATTTTGAGTAGAATTCAATATCAATTTGGGAAAGCTATATTGAACTTGTATGTACATATAATGGATTTTATTTAAACAAGCATTATTAAATACTCCCTTAACGAACTGAGTTAGTAGAAAGGCAACCTGAATAAGAGTAAGTTATATCGTTCACTAAGTAATTACGTAATTTACTTAGAATTTCGTTGCTCATTTCATTATAGATATGATTTTCTATTAGATAATTAGATATAAAATATAACTATCTTATATCTTATTAATTAAATTTAATTGTAAAGTGATGCTAACTTGTAATGGCTCACAAAACTATATCATACGTTTACTATGTTACACGATATCAAGGTAATAATTGTATATTTTCTATTAACTGCTACTGATATAATTAAAAACAATAACAAGCACATAAATTACTTCAAATAACCTCTCGTACTTAAAATAAGTAAAACCCATTAACTCGACATAACAACAGTCACAGTGAAAGTGTTATTTCGAACATTTATCCAAGCGTCTTCACACCACGACGAGTCCAGGAGAACAGAGATCAGATTGTACTCAGTCATGTTAATTACACGAAATAAATTAGAAATTCTTCTCTAATGGACTGATATATCTAATGGATATAATAAACGATATTGATTGGATTAAATTGTTTATATAAATGATGTTATCGACAGAAAAAAAATACAAAGTTATCATTGAGATTCATCGGTTCATCCATTTCCTCGAGTATTTTTTTCACTATAGGGAAATTGATAAATACTCTTATATGAGGGTTGGGTTAGGACTGAGAACTTTTTTACAATATTGTAAAAAAGTTCGAGTAGTTAGTTAAAATTTATTTCTTTTTGTCAGGTCTGTTGATGCCGTGATGTCATCGAGTTCAATTCAATCTAATCCGAGTGCACAATATGACAGTGTGGGGGCTGACCCTTTGACGTCTTGGCACAGTACCAAAACGTAACTTGTTCCTTACGAGTAACTTAATAATCTGATTTTCTGGAGCTACGATAATGTTGGATTTCGTAATGTTTGATAAACAAAACGTAATGACTTCTCAGTCCTATATTATGAATGGTATGTTGTTTTTGCAAACGAAGAATTAGCAACTTGACATTAATAAGCTCAGCGTCTTTTATGGTGTGGACCCACCTTTGATGCCTTAGTCAAATACGAGAAGAATTTAATATGTACCTATGTAGTATAAAGATTTGATATTTATTGGTTATAATACTGGTCATGTCGCACAAAGAAATCGAGGCGATGATATATATAATTTTTTCTGTATGCTTACACGGTCGAGTTCCCAAAGCAAACATAGAACTGTCATTTGACTGTCACCACCGCAGACATCAAAGACATATCAAAGACTGATTATACTTGTTGTTGGTAACTTTTACGTGATATCTCAGTCTACTTGCTCTTACTTTTTGTGCTGATTTATATGCACTTAATTCTGTAACTCTGATCCAGCTCGGTGGTGTAGCGGATAAGCAATCCCGGGCTGCGGGGATTGTTGTTGTTAAGCAACTTTCTCAAGGATCGTCATGAAATGGGTGACCAAAAAAATATTAACCCGAGCTACACCGTGCTTCGGAAGGCTCGTTAAGTGGTTTGTCCCGGCTGCATATGCAGTTTTTAATACCCTCCAATCTGCATTGGGCTGGCGCGGAGGGTCATGGCCCATCCTCCTTAACCAGTTCAGGCCTTCTGTTAACCAGAAGGCCTGAGCCCCTGCAGAGGGGATATTAAATACTTATGACGAATTCTGTAATATTTCAGTTGATGTTATTGAGTTGAACCCTAACACATGAGTTAACGGACTCTCGGGGTTCCGTAAACCTCAGTTTGTAAACGCTGATTTAGAACAGTGAGTGAAACATAGATCAATACATCATATATATCTTAGTATACACTAAATCCCCTAATATTTCACCAAGTGTGACTTTGAGCAATTACTTAGTTTTATAGTTAAACCAGCTTTCGTCAGCGGCTTCGCCCACGTGGTCCTTAGGGAAATGTTTAGTGGGATAAAAAGTATCCTATTATCTAAATCAGCTAATACCCTATTTGTATACCAAATTTCCATCGAACTCCGTTCAGTAGTTTCGGCGTGCTTGACGGACAAATATCCAAACATCCTTTCACATTTATAATATCAATAGCATATCCAGAGAAATTACCTATAACAATGCCATTATCCATGATAATATTAAGCATACTTTCTATGATATGGGTTGCAAGATAAACCTATTGGAATAGAATTTTGGTTTTATTTAATAATACAATCTGTCATCAGTATACTTTTTATGTCTTTTGTACTAGAGCACATATTCAACCTCCATTAATTGAAGGCACTATAAATTACTTGTAGATATAGTACAGAGTTGTGAGTGTAAACGACCGTTAGCAGAACAGCATCCTACAATGTGGGTAATCCAATATATATTCTAGTCACCCATTGATCCCCCAGATGATCTTTGTGAAAGTAACTTAATTAAGCTCCTCATGATATTTTCCACAACTATAAGGTTAATATCAAACCGTTGACTACAATCGGAGAGTTTACAATTTCTTAAGCCTCTATCAACAAAATTACTTTTACTTTTAACGTAGTAACCTACTTTGAACAGTACAGGCAAAGTTTTCCCCTTTAGAGTATAAGAGAAACAAGGGTATTTAGTAAAACAGAAATGAGGTGGTCTAGGCATTAGCATTTGTTAACTTAGACGAAGCAAACTTTTGTTTGTGATTTACAACACAAAATTATTACTTATTGCGTATAAATTTGATACACATTATGTGAAATTTCCAGAAGGTTTTAGATTAGGTACATTAGCTATATAATAAATCAAAATATTATGAATATTCCACACTCCAAGTAGAATTGTAGATGTTACAAAACAGTTTTAGTTGCACAGATAGACCTCTGTTTTACCTCGCTATAAAGGCATATTAGTTTTCAAATCGCACAACGAAATTTGATATTATCTTAAAGCGTTTTTATAAAACTGTTTGTAGTTTTCAAATTATTTTTGTATAGTTGATAAATAGTATAGTAGTTATATTTCTAAAATATATGTTTATCTTTAAATTATAAAAACTACAAAATAACCTATATTTAATTATGTTTTTTGGGACGTGGTTTTAATTTTAAATATAAAGCAAGAAAGCTTTTATGTTTAAACACGCACTTTGTACCTTCAATTTCGATTTGATTTGTAGGAAATGATATTACTTTTTATTCATCGTAATGAAGCAAAATAACGGTATCGGAATCGGTCTTGTTACATCATAAAGGGAGTTATTTTCAACTAACGAAAAAGAAGAAGTTGTTAAAGTGAAATTATAATTAAATATATTATGTAGTCTTAATCACCAATGCTGCTGTTATTTTACAAACGTGCATAGTAGGGTTCTAATTCAAAATAAAAAAAAGCTTTTACAAGATAAATAAAAAACAACATTATACATCTCTTGGATTTGAGTCGGCATTAGACAAATAAAAAAATTTCAAAGTACCTAATACATAGAACTAAATATAAAAGACAATATGCTCGGTGTTTGTTAACTCGCCAAATACTAGTTGTTTTGCCGCGCCTACGCCCGCGTAATCTAAGTGTAGCTTAGATTTTTTAAAGTCTGCCCTGTATTTTTGGATTCTATTCCATGTAAACAAACACACATCTTTCCTCTTTATAATATTGGTATAGAAATGTCGACTGACTGTAATTTTGTGTGTCTTTTTGGAATGATACGTAAACAGACAATAGTACACCATTTAACTCAAAATTTAAAAATATGTATTTATATTTATCTATGCATATTGAATAAGAACGTGAATACTCATTGAAGTGGCTATGGATGGTGTAGAAAAAATCATAAAGTGAAAACGCTTATAAAGTAAAACTAATGCAGATTCTCAACAGCTTAACGTAATAGAGTAGTTGATCGTAAAGCTTAAACAATTGTATAGTGATGGCAGAGACTACAGACAGGCACAAACAATAAATGTGTTCAATATGGAAGCGCACAATAGTGAACGCGTTATTAAACTGTGTACTGATGAAGAAACTTAAAACTGCCGTCAGGAAGTGGCGAAGAATGCGATTTTTCAGGAAACAGCATGGTAAGAATCGTCATAGGTATCAACTTTTGTAATTACATTACGAAAATTTTGTACCTTTCCGAGTAGGAATTAATCCAAGGATCATTTGATCATTAAGGCAGCAATTTTATTTCATTAATAAAGATTAGACTTGCGTGGCGGAGTGGCTTGTATGCTGGTTTCAATGATTCGCTGTCTCTGAGCTCCCAGGATTAATTCCCGGTTGGGTCAAATCAAGTATTCTATAATGTCTTTAAGCTCTTCATTTGAACTCTGATCAACGTACCTATGTGATGTGTTTATTTAATAAAATTTTGGTCAACCATCCAATGACTTGCCTTAGCAAAAGTCATTTAGGTTCCTCAAATGCAGACCCGAATCCTTTAACCTTTGCGAAAACCAAGTTCATCAAGCTCATTACTATTATTTGTTCGCAGATCTATCTATGACGCGGCAAATTTCCACGGATCCTGCTCCATCCACTTCAGGCACACCTGCTCATCTCCCAAGGCCACCACCTGTAGAACTGCTACAATTGGCAAGTGTGACATATAATTAATTTTTACTAAAGGTATCTCGAAAGTCAAAAACCGGCGTACGTGTATTGAAAAGAAATATGGATGTCAAAGAAACAACAGACGAAATGTGCAAAGAGCGTAATTGTTACAGTAAGATATAAGCGATGGCGTTCACTGATGTACCAGGAGACATACCTAGTAATAGTATCCACGCGCTTAACCTCCATTGAGTATGAGTGAGACGTACACCTTGTGGTTTTTTTTTTTAATGGTGGTTATTAAAGATTTTATGTGAGTGTTTTTTCATTTTGTGCTTGTGGTTATAAAATGAGTCGGCCAATTCAAGTTGTTTATACTAACGGAGAGGCAAGCCTCAGCCTATAAGGAGACCACATCCCGATATGTATGGATCGAATGCCGTCAGTATGCCGACGTCGTGATGAAAGTATGAAAGGGATATCGACCCGGTAAAGAAAAAGGTAGAGAAGATAGAACAGAGTAATAAAGATATACTAAATAAGTAACAAATACAGAATTAAGCTAATATATAAAATATACATAATAAGAGTACACCTTATGGCTATTTTATCTTAAATTTAAATCTTATATTGGATCTCGTCAGATTTGGTAGGTCTGCTTTGCGTGAATAAGGAGCTTCTATTCCACATCTTCCATAACCACAAGGACTATAAGAGGATAACAGCACATTGTCGCATGAGATCATTTGTGCGTGCTAGCAGGGATGCCTCAATAGGACCTGGAAGATCTAATACTTGCGGAAGTCAAATACTTGGCTTGCCCTGAAGAGCTAGCATTTGCAACACGTCAAGTGGAGTACTTGATTATCGGGGAATGGTGGCGTAGCGTTCCCTTGGAGAAAAAAATCCTCTCTGCTCTGCGCAAACGAAAGTTCACTATTTGCCATAATAAAATTTTGGGATTGTCAGTTCTTAGGGGCAGCCAATGAAACATATATTAGGTATGTGGGCTTCAAAAGAAAGCGAAAATAACGCTATTTCGTCATTATCCATAAAACTCTGTATAGTACCCGCGGATTATTATGTTTTGTTGTGCCGGTCACTGTAGGAAGTCATACATAGTTATATGGATAGCGATCGTTTATATACGTAGAGTATATATGAGTCATTAAAAAAAAACTTATATGATACGTGAGGTCAAATAAAAAAGTGACACCTTTATTCAGTGCGCAGAGCCAATCTGTGTTTTTCTTCCGGTGGCACAAAGTATAATTTAGTGTTTTTTTTAATGAGTTTTTCAGCTTTTTAATATTAATTTATTGAAGTCGTAGTTTATAATATTTCGAAACGATATGGTTGTTTTCTATAACTAGTATTTGATTGATTTCAGTGCTGTCAGCGGTATAAGCAAACCTACTGCCTTCTAGGAGTAAATATTACTGCCGTATACCCTCGTGCTAGGTTAACTTTGCTAAGTTTTTGTTTAATAATATGAATTTTGACTAAAACTAAGTGCAGTCACAGCGTCAATTTACTCAAACGCTAAACCTTATTTATTAATAACACTGCTGATATTTAAAAAGTTATCTAATATAAAGCAAACAAAATCCCGAGACTTTGACTTTACTAGCTTGATCAATCATTCCCGTACGTCGAAGCTAGAATGAACTTCGTTACAGCGGAAGAAAGGAAGTGGTGTACATTAAAACCTCCAAATTATTTTGAGTATATTTTTCTAATAAATAAAATAACTTATTCACAAGTTTTATTTTTTATATATTCAAGAGCTTGTGTAACTTTACAATTTGGACTCTGTACTGTTGTTATTTCGTGCTATAGGTAAAAACCTTCATGCGCTCTATACTTTACCTAGAATTCATACAAAGCTCATTCTCCATATTCAAATTGCCCCCCTCCCTCCCTTAATCGGCTGGCGACATCCCCATTTGCATTCGATCTTCTATTTGTTTGGTTAGAACGCCTAATAAATGTTGAAACGACATTGCTCAATCCCCTTTACCAGGAGCTATAAATTACAAGCAACTTTGTGGATTACTGGGTACAGTGCTCGAGGTTCAAAAGTAATAGTCATAAAAAGAGATGTGACCTCCTTAACATTAAAGAATATAAATATTAAAATACGATATGAGTTGGTACTTAGTTGTATGTATGTAATTAAGTTAACGAAAGTAATTACAATGAATCTTTCAATATTTCACAGGAACCCGATGAAGGACAAAGGCTACGTGAACAACAGTTAAGACATTACACATTCTTCCAATTAAGAATACACTTGAAAAGGGGACAAAATTTAATCGCAATGGACAAAAATGGTAACTATGTACACACACTTACACTAATGAAACAGCACTGACACAGAAACCTTTTTTAACACTATGTAAGTGCTCCGCTCACTGCACTTAAATCACACATATTTCGATAAAAAGTGTTGTAAACCACGATTTAAACCGTAATGCAAAGGAATAATGAGCGAATTAGTTTAAATAAAAAATATAAAAGCTTCTTAATAGTAATCAATAAGTCATTTTATAAGACACTCTACACTCTACACAATTTTACTCATGTGTACTTTAATGATATTATTTATTTTTACTTTGCACATTTATTTATTTTATTTTCTTGCATTTATCATAGTGCTTTTGCTTTCCTTTTTCAGCACTTTCTTATTTTCGTATCATACACAATTAGAAATACAACACTAATTTAATTGAACATTGTAACATCAAAAAAAAAAGTTATTTCCAAAAATATTGAGATAAGTCCACTTGAAACTGTGGAACGCAAACTTATGAAAATCACTGCATTCACGCAAAGTTTAGAAACTTACGTATTATAAATTCAATATAAACTTCTAACTTTATAATATTTTGCACATGCACTTCAGTATCATTTTACGAAAATTTCAACATTATATTTGAATAATGGATATTTTATAAAAAAATATTACTATTAGGTACTGTCATTTGTTTCTTTCAATTACTATTTCGAGTTTCGTTACCCATTAAAAATGACTTTAAAAACTTCTTGCTAGTTAGATATAAACTCTTTTCAAAATTCACCATCAAAAAATTAGAACAATCTTTTTTTTTCGAAAGTCATAGATAAAACACGGTATTGTAGTGTGTATTACTTTCTGTATTTTATTTTCCTGCTTCTTCCTTCTCTAACTCAGCGTTTTGTGGGTTCCAAAACCAGGTTTGTTGTCAGGAACGAGCGATCCTTATGTGAAGTTCAAATCTGGAGGAAGACTACTGCACAAATCGAAAATTGTATACAGAGATTTGAATCCAGTATGGGACGAGTGCTTCACTGTTCCAATAGAGGACCCCTTCCTACCAGTACAATTAAAGGTAAAAAGTAAGGTTATTTTAACACCACCGGCTTTACCATATCATTAATTTTTCATTCGTTTTTTTCCAAGTATTAATTTATGCTTTAGTTAAATGTCATTCTTATATCAAAATTCTATTATATCTTATTTAAAGCTTTTATGTTACTATTACGCCTTAACCGTATTAGTTATAATAGAACGTTTTAAGAACCTTTTATCATTAAGTTATTATTTCTTCTTAAACTTACAGCTCAACCGCGTACATGAAACTCTAATTGGTCTTTCACAATTAAGCCCAGAATGATTTTTCAGGCTGGCAGTTGATCTGTCTGTCTGACTGATCATTTAAGGATTCATTTCGTCAGATCAATTTAGGTTTCAATTACGTGGTAGAACCTCTGATGTTTATTAGTACGGCTATTAATTAAATCTTATTTATAGAATTGATTAAGACTAGGTACCTACCTATTAATTAGCATTTCCTTTGATGTGGAACGTTAGCGTTGAAACGGAAAAGAGGATTAATGTAACAAATTTATTTCGAATTAAATTAAATTATAATTACATTTGTTAAATTAAATTTGTTGGAAAAGATACGACGATCGATCGCTACGTCCACAAACGAAGTTACGAAATATATAGTCATTTCAAAGACCCATTTATTCCAATTTCCCAGGTTTTTGATTACGACTGGGGCCTCCAGGATGACTTCATGGGATCCTGTCACATAGATCTGACCGCGCTAGAGCTCGGCAGACCTCAAGACCTAGTGTTGTGCCTCCGGGACCCGAGTAAACCCAACCAGGATATGGGAGAGATTGTTCTGAATGTTACTCTCTGGCCTAAATCTCAGGAAGATAAAGAACAGGTAGGTTTTAGTTCGAATTCAAATTCATTTATTTCAATCCATATAAGATCATTTACATTACAGATCATAAAATATTCAATTAAAAATATAAATAAAATCAAATTCCACAATTTTTAAATTACTTATTTTGAAATTAAATAAAAATATATATTTTTTTATAAATAATTGAAATACTTCAAATCTTGCATATTTTTTTCTGGTGGATTCTTTACTTTGTTTGAAAATTTATCAGTCCTTTAATACGTTTATCTCTCATTTAGTAAAACTAGGACCCAAAGTGTCAAATGTAAAGGAAATACATTTTTCTTTACTAAGTATAATATTTACTAAGTATTTCTTTACTAAGTATATTATGTATAATATTTTTCCTTAATTCTCATGTTAACATAAAACCTAGAACTTTACTGTGCCGTTGATTGGTTTTCTGAAACATCTGTTACACCTGCCATTGAAAGAGTATTTTCTCCCCGGTCTGCGAGCCGGCTATTAATAAATGACCACAGTAATAAATCATTAACAACTATAATTAGCCATCAGATATCTATCATATATCGAGAGCCAATACACCTGCCGTCTAACTGTTTACTAAAATATAATAAGTTTACTTCGGTTAGATTAGCAATTCTTCACAATTGAAAGCGCTGTCTGACAGGACTAAACCTTAACTTCATCTAGTTTTTGCAACAAAATTGTGATCTATTTTTGTAGTTAAAAGTCCTTTTGTTTGTCTTTTAAGTTTCTCAAATTTGATGTATCAGAAAGTTATTTTTTTAACCATGTAAATGGCATACTCACTCTCCGGGAACGAATTTCCCCACATTTCCCCAATATTTTTGAAAATTACAGCTAAACCACGTTTCCTGTGGCACAGATAATATTAAATCTATAGTTTGCTATATATACTTGTAAATGGTTGAATATATTCGCATAGAAACTCATCTCTCCGTGGCGTATATTCCAATATCTCTTTAGCGAAATGTTTAAGATTTAGGTCTAGGATAACATTACAAGGAAGAACGTAAATTTAAATTTTACACAAATGTTAAAATTGTTCAACGTTAAATAGAATTACCAGTAGTGCTAAACTAAACCATGACCTTGACATTATATCAAAGAGTTTTACTTGAAAGCTTATAATCTACAATGTGTGTATAGTACCATTACCATCCAATAATGATCGCATGCTATACATCAATGGCCAACAAACGAAGCCAACCTCTTTCAGTCAACGCACGCGCACCGTGATAAACGAACGCATGCACGCTGTTCTAAGGAAACATGATAATTTAACAGTGTTGAGTGATAAAACGCATATGTTTGTTGTAATGAACATAGTTTGGAAACGAATGAAGTGATTGTAATTTGTTTTACAAAGAATAAATAGTGTATTTGGTAGTATTTTCGTTTCTGTAGACCTGTTAGTGGTTAAATACTTTTTTTAAATACGGTCTACGCGTTGTTAGCCTCTTTAAAGGTAATGAATGTATAGTTTGTGGAGGTTGTAATGCAACTGATAAAATTGTGTACTATGACAACATAGTTTGTTAGTTTTGTAAGCCAACAGAGAAGATAGGCATGTCTACTATCAGATTTGTAGAAATAAAGTTCATGAAATGTGTCTAGGTAATTGACCTGTATTGGTAATATGCTAATGGTGTTTGTGTACATGTGTTTTTGGTAATCACCCAAAAGTACTTTACTGTAGCGAAAACAAAGAAATACGTTATCAACGATGCTAAAGCTACGCAAATAACAACAAATATTGTAGTCTATATTTAAAATAAATTTTGTTGTAACTGGCTTCTTATAAAAAATCAATCCACGCTGTATTTCAATTATTTAGCGGTGAACTGTTTTGTTTATATTGTTATATGTTATTATTTCATTTACTTCACGCACTACTGAAAGATTAATTTTGGAGAAAATAATATCAAACGTCGTTGAAATTGGGACCTAATAACTGAAAGCATATCATCATTACAGTTTCACTCAACTCGAGCAATACAAAATTTACACTTTCAAACAATACAAATTAAATATTAGTTTACGTTTCTGCTAACTAAAAATGGAAGTATTTACCTGCTTATATTTTGTTGATCTTATGGTTTTTTAAAGGGAACCATTTGTTTCAATATCACTTGTTTGGCTGGAAGTTTTAATCCACGAAAATTATAAATTTCATCTTGTCTACCACGCTTTATAGCTACGCTTATTAGCAAACATACACTCATTAGATTACGATAGTTGTGCTTAAATATTGCATCAATATTTTTACGTCGCTTAGTTATTATGTTTATCTTCACTAGAGATCGCGTCCACTAATAATGACACAGTAATCTATGTTAATGCATTAAAGTATGGTAACTTATAACCAGTCACTATAAAATAATAACTTGCTAAAATACTACAGTGGAAATATCTATTTCACTATAACCGTAGCTTGAATTCTGATCTAGATTTAAGAATACATAACCATATAATATAATGTTCCTAATGAATACAAGTCTTTCCTATAGAATACTATTTAGATTACAATTAATTTATCTGATTATTATTATACCTATTTAATTAATTTTGCATTCACAATGATATCCAGGAGAACATTCTTAATGAAAAATACTCCCATCTCAGAGTGCCTGGAGCTGGTGGACTTTTAAGAATTTTCATTGAAAATATTATATGACTATTTCAGAAAATTTAACGTAACATACTGCTCAGATGATTTTTTTTATTTTCTTTGGTTAATTCGGTGAAAATTATATCGAATATGTAGGAAATCTTACAGATAATACCTACTTTTAAAAAATATAAATGTTTCCAAAGGTGCTAAATAAGTGCCACCTGGACCACAACGTAAAAATTGATAGAAATAAGTACAAATAAAAATACAGATACATATTCGCAAATTTCGCAATGTATAAATTACATTCGTTGTCTGTTGTTTGAAATATCTAATACAAGTATGTGCCTACTAACAATAGCATGGTTCACATTCTGTTATTTTAGGCTTTCTTTGATCATTTGTTTATTCTGCGAACCTTGATACTCTTCTTATAAGCAAAAACGAAGGTAAAACCTATTACTGTGTCGAATATTTCTATTAAATTATGTAATATTATAACTGTGAATGCAATGCAAAGATCAATGGAAAATGAAGAATCATTAGAATTTCTGTCACTAGCGATAACTTTCTCTCAGTAAAAAATTCTCGAAAAGCTTTCAGTGTTAATTTTAAAAAAGTTTACAATTAGTTGTCTCAAGTATTCAAAAAATTATTTTATATTTATGTGGTCAAAGTATACAACAAGAGACTTGAACTTAATTAGAGATAAACTCCTGCGGTTCATGTTATTATTAATGGCATATCACTAAAGAAACTTTCGCAATTTATAATTAATTTATATGACTGATCAAGTCTGTGTTCATATTTAAATCTAGACTTGTTTTGCTATGCGTTGACTTTTTTTTAATAAGGGTTCAAAATAAATGGGAATAAAAATCAAAAATAACAAGGAAGTTTCTCTGTTTATAACACATACGTTTATATCGCGAATAAGAAAATTTGCAAATAGATTTATCTGTAATGGTTCGATACGTGCAATTTTATATTGCGATTCTCGGTAAATCTGTTTCCTATCTTAGTTGAAGTTAATGGGTATCCAAAATAGTGTCTGCGTTGATATTACTTTTAGAGTGAATAGCTAGGTATTTATTAGTGATATAAGAACGAGCTTAATTCTGCTTAAGGTGACTTTAATGATAATAAATAATGTTATAATAAAATAGATTTTGTTATAATAAAATACTTTATTTTCTAGCGATGAGTGTGATTGTATTATATTGTCATTAGTAGAAATGTAAATCAAAAGCCTTTTCTCCTATGAAATATATTTCGAGCTTTAAATGGAAAAACCCCCTTCTAATCGATATTACATACTAACCGATTACGATGAATTAAAGCTTAAACATTATTGGTTGTAGTCCAATCACCACGGGGAAGGCCTGGGCCCCAACAATAGGGACTTTATAGGCTAATGTTAATCATGAGTGTTGAATGGAAATATTATTTAAATATCATTAAAAGTAGTAGTAAGTAACGTTAGTAGAATTGATAATTAGAAAAGTTATGAACTATTTAATTTATAAGATCATAGGTACGCGTACTGAACAGTTGTTTTTCTGTCACTATGACGTGATCCGCTTATCTGGTAATATCTCTTCATTTCTATTGATTCCCTATGCTAAGTATACTCGCTCACGGTGTTACTGATTTTATAAGGTCTATTCATCGACATTTTAAGAATTTTAATATCATTGCGCAATACCTTTCAAATCAAACTAAAGTAGCATTGATCGTAAAATCGTAAATACATATTACAAAAAACCTTGACTTCTCAAATACGAAACACCAATCGACTATTATCTAAATCTTTCTTAGAACCAAAACAAATAGATTTTACTAAGAACACCCAGCTGTGTAAAATATATCGCTTGGAACAGATGAAAATATCTAAAACTCAGTTTAAAACAAGAAGTGAACGTGTTTAGACGGAAGGTAACAAAATCAAAAGCAATCGAAGTGATACCGTAGTAATTTAAGATTAACACTTCCACGTAATGGACAACATGGAAAAGTTCAAAAACAGACTTATCAAGATTCATGATAAAATTCAAGATCGCATGGAAGATTTTCAAGATCAAGTGCAAAATAAATATGAAAATTCCAAAATTTCAAAGTTCATATCTAATTTGTCTGAAGACAGAAGTTCTATAGAAAGCGAATCTAATGATGATAAAACAGCAGACGGCGATAATACATCCACAGATTCTGGAAAATATGGAAGCACCAGAAAGTGCGCCAACAATAGTATACCATCTGTAGTCATTGATGGGCCAGCAGAAGATAGCGCAAAGGAAATATGTGAGAATTTCATACATTTTGAAAAGAACAGTGCACTATATCAAAAAAGGAGTTTGTCGACATCTAATTTGAATACTGA